CGTCCCTCTTGTGCTTTCTTGAACCTCGTCTATGCTTTTTAACTCCTCTTTCATGAACTGCAACAGCCTCTTCATCTATGAAATTAACAGCTCGCTTAGAATATGCACACTATTCGACGCACTAAATAGCATTCCTAAAAGGAAGACCATGTTAACAATCATTAAGTTGCTTTACCGTCATCATCATCATCACCATCATCATCGTCGTCATCATCATCTTTAACTGCTAACCCACCAAAGTCTTCTATATCATCCTCCTCTTCAAGATCTTCATATCCTTCAACGTACTCCACCTCATATTCCTGATTAAATTCATTTTTTGACAGAAAAATGAGAAGTGCGACCAATCAAACAGTGTAAAGCAACAACATATTAGCTTCTCCCCAAACACACACACACACACACACACACACACAAAATGAACATAAAAAAAAAGAAGAGAGGCTCATGGGCGGGTGCCAAAACGAGGACAGCAGAACGGTTAATAAGATTATATGTGTGGGCGTTGCTAGAATTACCACTTCTTTATTGTCAACGACTTCTTTGTCTAGTATTGCATTGTACTTATCAATAGGGATAGCATTGATAATCTCGCCAGGATAAACTCCCCTATTTAGCCGTTCCAGCAGCTCATTTTCAATACTCTGTAGAACAGTCATTGGCATCAGTAAAGATATACAAAGATGTTAAGCGCGTGGAATAAGACGATGAACAAGCAAAAACTGAAAATGTACTACCTTATCCAGCACAGCTGCCGTTTCGGCCTTTTTTTCTCTACGAGCCTCTCTCTTGATCTCTTTTCTAGGTGTGGTCATTATCTTTTCTCTAGAGACCAATGCCAAAAGATGCACGTAAGTCATAGTACCCAGAGCTTAAAGAGGCAGTTTCAAGCCTTGACGCACTTTGTATAAATGGGATGAGGTGTAAGCCTCAAAGTGTATGAGGTGTACGGCTCAGACTTAAACTACTTAAATGTAATTTTGAAAAAGGAGATAGATAGATAGATAGATAGAAAGAAAGAGAGAGAGAGAGAGAGAGAGAGAGAGAGAGAGAGAGAGAGAGAGAACTAGTGTGATACATTTATAAAACAGTCAGAAAGTGAGATGCTTCTATGTCCTAATCCGTCCAAAAAAATCAAATTTATAGAAACAAAGGAGTGGAGAAGATGGTGCGAGAGAAAAAGAAACATAACCTTCAAGAGAAGAGAGTTCATTATTTATTTGTGATTGAAAATTGCAAGCCTTGCGAGTCTGGTAAGCGTGAGTTGATGTAGCAGAAGAAAGATTGGGAGTTAAGGAGGTTTTTGTACAGACTTAAGGTCATATTTTGTGATATTAATGAAATGACATACCTAAACAGCAGATTTTTTTAAACAATAATTATGAGGCTTCAGTAGTGCTTCACTACATGCCTCAAGGCATTCGCCAGAGGAAGTAGGACGCTTGTGTGCTATTTTTGAACATATCAAAGTGAGGCGAGCATCAAGGAGCATCTCATTTCCGCATTTTAAATCATGATAGTATTATACTATAAAGAGGGAATAGGGAACTTAATATTTTCACACGAAAAGGAACCAGAATCTATTTTTAATCTCATGTCATCATGTGAATCAGTTACTGTAGCTCATAACTCAAATACTCAGTCAGAAAGTTCTACCATTGAATGTGACTGATAACTTTTCTAGCCAATCAAAATTCAACTTTGGGAAAAAGATTGTCATGATGAAGATAGCATGACAGAGCAGAAAAATCAAGATTAATAGAGTCACCAGCACAAAAATCAAAATTTCAACTTTTTTTCTGGGATACCGAAGTCACTAACACAATTATTTAAAAAAACACCGACAATAAAAAAGGGAAGGCAATGAAATATTGAAATAGAATAATTAGTTTACAAAGTAACACTAGTGGAGCTACTTCTCACATCAGAAGCACTTTTATGCAAGCATTTACAATGAATCACCTCACGCTTTATGCAGCAATGCTTTAGGAGATGTAAAGAAATTATGACAGCTGATTGAAGCATTTTTCCTTTCAAGCACTCTAATCAATACTAACAAATAAGGAGAAAATGCCAGGCTATTTGCCAAATAATTGATATCCATAAAGTAAAGCTGATAGAAGCCTACCTCTTACTAGTGACTTGGATAACCATGCAAAATGAATTCATACACACAAAAACATAACCGCCCACAAATTCAAACAGAGGGAAAATGTTTCTAACCGAGTTTTTAAAGCAAGCTTCCTCGTCCTTATTCGCATATAAACCAACTTAGTGAATCTTTGTTTTGTCTTGTGTACAAGAAGCTTTGGCCAGTACATCTGTTGAAGATAGAAAAGCAACATGGAAGAAGAAAAAGAGAGTAAATACAGAGTAGTAAATTACAAGTTTAGTTTCAGTTTAAGAAATGTACTCAAAATCATGTATTCTAATTACCAAATGTTTATCAATTATTTCAAGAGCCTGCATATAATTCCTGGGCAGCTTTACTCTTTCCCACAACTTGTTTGGCATGTGAGCCCTTTCTATTGTTTTCATGTAAAGATAGAACACTCCTGGGAACAAGATAAGATAATTTGTTAACAGTTAATTAAAATAAAATATTAATAATTTGAAACAGAACATAAAAATTTAATAAAATGAAACTTTATGCTGCGTAGAATAATCATAACAAGAAAAGAAAATGCCCAATCAGCCAATGCTTACATTATAGCAAATCTCATAAATCAAAGAGTTACACTTAAGCCTAATGTGAGAGCTATTTGGACAGAAAATAACATGATCATCGGTCAAGCAAATAAAAAATGCAAATTTATTTCAAGAAATGAATAATGATAAAAATAATAAGGGCTAAACTATTTAAAGTTAAAACAGTTCAAGTAACTTGGTTCTCAAACATAGTTGAAACTTGAGAGCTTATGAAAAAGAATACCAAAGTAGCAGGATTCATTTGTTCCTTACCATCGTGTTCCCTTATTGTAGCATAGCGACTATTAGCGAGAGGGCAGGAGCTCCGGTTACAAATGCCGGTGACATTATATGGATTCCGGCAAAATATTCCGGTGTCAATCCTAGATAAAATTACTTGGGTAAGTAATTGAAGAGAGAAAAAAACACAATCTACATAAAACAAAACAGAAGAGAAAAACACAAAAAACAAACTAACTTTGCCATGAAGCTGCAGTGATTGTGTCTGATAACTTGCCATATGACCTCATCGTGCTGCATCTTTCACTAGGAAGCACTCGAACACACCAAAACTGCAGAGAAATGGAGCGGGTTGGACACTCGGATTGCAATGAGTTGATGGGCTATCGGGAGAGGCAATTAGGGTTCCTTGTGTTTATGCGTTTGGGCTAATTTTTATAAAAATTACAGAGCACACTACTTTAAACCTCTTGCATCACAAAGCATAAGCATTACATTCATAAAGAGTGAATTTAAACATAGATTCCTAGAACAGAAGAAATATCAGAATGTTTTCTTGAAATAAAAACTCGAAAAACTTGGCAAAAAAACGAACTTTTTATGGCGATGCACAAACGAAGAGCATGTGATTACCTCTTTGGGAGCTTTTTAAAAGTTCCGTTGGATGATGAAGAAGAAGAAGAAGCTGATTGTGTTGAGAAGGGTGCCGCGGCGAGTAGAGCTCGATTCGTCAGAGGATCGCCCAAACCCTTCCTTACGTAGCGCTCCGCACTCTTGACCTGGAGCCCCGACCCAATTACACAATCCATCTTTGTCCAATTTTATCCTTCTATGAAAAATAATACCCCGAAATAATTTCTACTCTAATTTTTCTCGCCAAAATAAAAGAAATTTACATTCCCTTTTTTAAATTTATTTTTTCTCGTTTTTATTCTTCTCACCTTTTTTCTATCCAAATACGAAAAATTATTTTCTATTCTTTTTAGTTCCCTCTCAAATTTTTGAAGTAAATATAATATTAGTGTCAAACAGAACGAATTTTAATCTTTAATTAAATTCAGAGTAAAATTTATGTTATGTACGGAGTATTTCGTACTCCCTAGTCCCTCCTCCATCCACCTAAGATATTCTCAATTTAATTTTTTATTATTTTTAAAGATAGTTGAAAAAAAGGTAAAAGTTTATTAAAATATCTTTTATGAAAATAGGTAGAGTTTATAAAATAAGATGTGTGAGATGTAATAAATAAAGTAATTAGAAGTAATTGTAGTATTTTAAGTGTTAAAAAAGCTAATGAAAAAATTTATGAGATATAAACAAAAGGATTAATGAAAAGATCTGTGGGAGGCGGTGGGAGTAATAAAAAGATTCAAATAAACTTATTTTGGAAAATATCTTTAAAAAAATGATTTTACTCTATATATATCCAATGTAGGGGCAAGGTCTGCGTACACACACCCTCCCCAGACCCTACTGTAGTAGGATTCAACTGAGTTGTTGTTGTTGTATATATATCCAATGTACTTCGTAATATTTTACTCTATAAATATACAGTTAAATTTTAAAAGAAGTTACTCCGTATATAAACTTTATTACGAGGTACTATTCTTAATAAATAATTCTAAAAGAGAGTCCGCTTTCACATTATTTTTTACGAAGTAATACTTATAAGTTGAAAAATCTTTAGTCATTTTCCAAAATTATTTATTTTTAACTTCTTATTGAATTATCGTATTGACCATAAAATATAGGAAAATGCTAGGGTGCCACCATATGGGTGCTACAACCCATGTTTCACACAGACAAACACAGACGATAATTGTTTGTGTCGCACAGACAATTATCGTTTGTGTTTGTCTGTGCGAAGCATGGGTGCACCCATGATAGCACCCATATGGTGGCACCCTAGCATAGTCCTAAAATATATCATCTCATAATAAAAAAATATTTATATAAAACATGTCATATATACATTATCAGAAAATTAATACAAATAACATTACATTGAAATATAATTTTATATAAATGTTAAAAATTTTGGATTGTCCATGGGGTTAAAACTAGTAAAAGTTATAAATACAATACATTGATTTTCTTCAAAGAGGGCCCCATTTGGCATCAGCTTTAGAGATTAGCGTTACCATTTTGAAAAGACTATTTGACGGTAGGCTTTAGCGTTAGCATTTTCCAAATTAATCTACACCGTTAATATTTTATCCAAAACGCTAACGCTAATTGAAAACGCTCTTCCCAAACAAGGCCGAGAAGAGGTTACCTCACAAAATAGCACAGATGGGAAAAGGTTCCAAAAAAAAAACAGCCAAAAATAACAACCACAAATGGTTCAAATATCTCTTGCTAGAAGAGAACTCAAAGTCCTTCAACTGTTAAAATGCCATCCTCCTTCACCTCTCATGCATGACCATGGCAAGTTCAGAAACTTATAGCCCAGAAGAGAAGGGGGCAAAAATGTCTGCGGTGCATCCGGATCGTCCGGGGTGTACACATACTCCTTCCCATACCCAAGATCCTTCATCAGCTTTGTTGGTGCATTCCTCAGATGTAGGGGCACCCCTTCGTTGCGCCCCACCGACTCCCTCACCGCCCTCGTCGCCTCCCCCAACGCTCGGTAAACAGTTACCGACTTCGGGGCGAGTGTCAAGTACACCACGCATTGCGCGAGGTTCACGTTGCACTCAGGCATCCCGAGGAAGTGGCACGCTTGATAGCAAGCCACGGCTTGGCAAAGGGCGGTGGGGTCCGCTAGGCCGACATCTTCGCTCGCGAACCGAACCAAACGCCGGGCAACGTATAGCGGGTTCTCCCCGCCTTCCAACATCCTCGCCAACCAATAAATGGAGGCGTCCGCGTCGCCTCCTCTCATTGATTTGTGGAGCGCGCTTATGAGGTTGTAGTGCTCGTCTCCCGCTTTGTCGTACGCCAAGTGCTTGCACTGCAAAGCCTCTTTCGCGTCATCGACGGTGACGAGCAAGTCCATGGACGGTCGCGACTTGGAGAACGCGGCTACCGCCGCGTTTTCCAGGGCGTTCAACGCAACCCTTGCGTCCCCGTCGCACTGGCTCGAGAGAAACTCTATGACATCATCGTTCACCTCGAGCTTCGACCCTTGAGGGCCCAAGCCACATGCCAATCCTTTTATGGGATCGGACACGGCGCGCCTCAAGAGGGAGGTGATATGGTGGTGTTCCAAGGGGTTTAGAGTCAAAACCCTACACCTCGACAACAAGGGAGTGATCAAATGGAAGGAAGGGTTCTCGGTGGTGGCGCCGATGAAGACGACGCTCCCGTCTTCGATCACCGGCAAGAAAGAATCTTGCTGGGCTTTGTTGAACCTGTGGACCTCATCCATGAACAGAATGGTTCGTTTCTTGAGTAGTTTCTTTAGTTTCTTGGCCTCATCGACGGCTTCGCGAACGTCCTTAACGCCAGCAGTGACAGCAGAGAGGGAGACGAATCTGTACACGCCGGAGACGGAGGGGGAGGAGGAGGAGAGACAGGAGTTGAGTATGGCTCTGGCTATGGATGTCTTCCCGGTGCCGGGCGGGCCCCATAGTATGATAGAAGGTATACGGCCGCAATCAATGGCGGATTTCAGTAGGGAATTGGGAGCGAGCAAATGGTCCTGTCCGATTACCTCGTCCAGAATCCGAGGTCTCATCCGCTCTGATAAGGGTTCGTGAGGGATCGCCGGCGGCGGCTCCTTCTTCTTCTCTTCTTCTTCTGATTGCTCGGCCAATTTGGGCCGCTTCGGGAATTCTAGGGTTTCTTCGTCTCTTTCGTCGCGATGGATTTTTGGGGGTTTCGACTGGGATTGGAAGAATCGGTTGATTTTGGGCTGGAAAGGGGAAACGGATGAAGAAATTGGGCTCGTGTCGCCGGAATCCTGGGAAGCCCTGTGGCCATTGGAGTTGCTGAGAATCCATTCGGTGGCCTTGGCTACATCGTCTCCGGCGGAGATTAATGCTTGGTGGGCCAAGTCCTCCGGGAATCCCATGCCGATGAGCTGTTGCTTCGCCATGGATGTCCGCCGCCGCTAGGAGAGCTCGCCGTGACGCCGCCAGTGAATAAAAGTACTCCGCAATGATCAATACAATCTCTCTCACTGGAAAGTCTTTGAAGACGATTGAAGAGTCGTGAAGAACTTCAAAGCTTCAGAATCGAAGAAATAAGGGCTAATAAAATCTGGATACATCTGAAACATGCTAAGCATGAAAATGGCGGAGCATCGGGAAGAAGATGCCTGAGTTGGGCCGAAGCCAAGACCAGGTAGAATGTAATGTTCGGCCACATTCGTCAACCGGCCCAAGTAACCGGCCCAGTAAGCTTAGCATACTCCTTAGTCCTTCCGTTGTCTCTCCATCGTTAAATGAACTTATTTATCTACAACCGTTAAAATGCTTTTCTTTTGAATTGATATTTTTTAGGGGCAAAAGAATTGATATTTTCGTAAAATAGTTAAAGGTTCATGAATTAAACAACATTTTTTTTCCATTTATTTATGATAGACAATGAGAAAATGAGATATCAAACATGCATATTATAATCTAGAAGAACAAACAGACTGGACAAAATCGGAGTTCATGTGGATTTGATTGATTAGTTTCTTTGCATTATTTACTTTCTAAGTTTAGTTTCAATGAGATTGCTATAACTCTTTAATTTTGGGTATATTTAATAGTTTACTTAATCATTTGCAATTTTAATCCTTAATTAGGGAGGTGAACAAGTGTTGGAGTTGAACAAAAATATTCTTAAGAGTTGAGAGGGTTCAATTCCCTCAAGGGGCACAATATTTTTCTTCCAAAAAATGGAATTTTGTTTGCGAGAAACAAAAAAAGAAATGTGAAACCTTTTTATGAAATGGAGTCTAAAGTATTTGGTTGTTGTAAATGCCCATATTGATTTGAGCAGTATCATAGTATCATCTTAAATAGTGAGCATAAACACTCTGATAATTGAGCTTTGGCATCATATAGTGCTAATAATACTAACACCCAATTTGTTCCTAATATACTCTCTACGTCCCTAAATATTTGCCACACTTGTATTCCCGATGCAAAATATCAAGTTTTTTCAATTAATTTTAGTTACATATTGATATAGAAATAAAAAATGAAATTTATATATCAAAAAAATAATGAAAAGTTATTCGAAATAAGAGGTGTCAAGAATATTTTATTTTATCAAATAACCAATTAAACGTAGAAATAAACAAAAGTTCCCGCGACAGCTGAAAAAATAAACGTTGCAAATAATTTGAGACGAAGAGAGTATAATTTTGGTTGGGAGGTGGGTTAGCCACCATTTAGGTTCTTGGCTACGATTAAGGCTCTAAAAACATGAAACTAGGAACCACGTACTTGCTTAGGTTCACGTGCCAGGCAAACATATTACTCCATCCGTCCTAAAACTTTCTTCACGTCGCGCAAAATAAAAAAAATCCCAAGTTTTTTCAATCTATTTTATTTAAATATTGGTATAGAAATAAAAAATAAAACATACATATTTAAAAAGTTCAACAAAACAAGTGGTGACAAGAATATTTTATTTTATCATATAGGCCATGAAAAAACACAAATAAATATAAATTCTCGTGAAGTTGGAATATTGCTCTGGAAAGAAAGTTTTAGAACGGAGAGAGTATATGCGAAAACATTCTTTCGGTTTTTTATTACTAAAAACCATTCATGGGTGTTTTCCAAATTGACATTTTACACGTGTTTTGGCAAAACAGATTCATTTCAACATTACAGAATCAACTTATATCACACACCCTCTCCCTTAAAAAACTTCTCATTTTGACTTTTAAAGGATTTTAGGAGAGTGTATTTTAGTGTTGACTTTTCAAAAATGTTCTTTGATGTGATGGATAAAGTAGGATGTGATGAGTAGATTAATAGAAAAAAAGTGTGATGTGATAAGTAGGTTAAGAATTAATAGGGGTAAAAGTGACTTTTTAATAGGAAAAGAGAAGTATTTTTTGGGACGGATGAAAAAGAAAAGGGGAAGTGTTTTGTAGGACGGAGGCAGTATAACAAGTCAAAGCATGTACTCCCTCCGTCCCTAAATATTTGTCATACTTATATTCCCGAGACAAAATATAAAGTTTTTTCAATTCATTTTATTTACATATTGGTGTATTATTAAAAAATAAAATTTACATATCAAAAAACTACATGAAAAGTTATTCGAAATAAGAGGTGTCAAGAATATTTTATTTTATTAAATAACCAATGAAAACGTATAAATAAACAAAAGTTTCCGCGACTGCTGAAAAAGTAAATGTGACAAATATTTTGGGACGGATGGAGTATGTGTTAGGATGGCGTATGAGAACTAGCAAGTGTTTTGGCCGGCCTGCTGCCAGAATTACCATTAATGAGGCGTTTCTCTTTGTCAGTGTTTATTTGATTATTTTTATAAATACAAAATGGTTTTGAATTTATACGTTTCTTATTGAAGTGCGTATTTTTTTGTAAATCTTGACTTATATGAGAGAAGAGTAATTTTGGATATAATCATAAAAAAATGTGGGGATAGGTTTATAAATGATTTGTAGTTATTGAAATTGCTAACAAGAAACTTCTTGCTAGAAGCGTCCTCAGCCATATACTTTTTCTCGGGCCGTCCGATAGTGACTTTGCATATTCAACATTTTGGTAAGCATCAAACAGAGAATCAGACATACCGTTTAGGATATGGCCACAACATATGTAGTCATTGTTCTCCCATTTGCATTGTCTTCTTGTCTGGTCTAGTGTTTCATCATCCATGATCTCTGGCATTAGTGTGCTCATCAGTACATACATAACCTTCAGTGTGGTGAGAAGGAAGTGCATCTTCTTCTGTCATCTACGAAAGTCCAGGTCTTCGAACTTTTCCAACTTCAATTCGAAAACTTGTTGCTAAGGTCTCTCTCACATATTCGACACCTGACATCTTGTTTCTCGAAAATAAGTATTATTGGAATAACTTTGATCTTTGTTAGAAATTTAGTTGGAGGATGAACATTGCGAAGCAGCGTTGACAAAATGATGAATGGAGAAACATACAAAGGACTTGATAGTTTAACGAATTGCGTAACACGCTTTCATATGAAAGTTATTTTGGGGTATTCCAAAATATTTTAATCGAATAAGACGTTAATAAAAAACAAACACTTCAAGTCATATCTCTCGACCCATACCTATGTCTCTATATTTAAAGAAATGAAAATCCATTATCAGAGAGACACATTCGTTCACGTAAAGATGCGTCCTTACAGCGAAAAGTTGTATGTGGTTTGGTCTGTTTTCGAATGTTCGATTTTTGAATGTTTCGGACTCCATTCATGAAAATTTAAAAGATCTTCATAAAGCAATAATGTCCAAAATAATAAAATTTCAAGTTGTCGACCCCGACCAGGGGCTTGGACCCTGCTACTAGAAGATGTCATCCCCTAACCACCACTATGAATTTATAATATCGTTGAACCTCATGCACTCCACACCTCCTGACTCAATTATTTATAACGTCTATTTAAATTCTCGTCTGATCTAAGTAAACCAATTACATAAAATAGTACAAAATAACCTATCCCTAAAATCATCAACAGAGAAACATCTGCCATAGCTCACCATTTTTTGATACATGTGTACGATGGTTATGAAAGAAACAAATGAAAGTTATGCTAGCGTTCACATGTTTGTGATGAGAAGGTGGGAACAACGTTGGAGAGTTACTCTTTGGGGTGTTGTAGCGTTATCCTTCACATCAAATAATACTCCCTAATTTCATGGACGTATCGTCTTTATATCCAACTCAATCAACTTTCTTTTTTAGGAAAAAAATAGGTGAACCCAAAGTGGTGTTGATGGTGTAAATATAGCTGGACGGGTTAACCGGGTTTAACCTGAACACTTGACCCGCAATATAAAACACACAACAAGAACACAAAGTATGACCTAGACCGGGTAAATCTCCTCAGTCCGAAATATATTTCTTACTCTGTTTCAAGAGTGTACTAGTTTTTAGTGAGAGAAAGAATGGATCCCCACCTCTATCCAATATCATCATATTTATAGAGGAGGATTTGTGACCTTCCCCTGTTCATCCATGGACAAAATAGGAAACCCGGAGGAAGGTCACTGTACATAATCAATCTACTATTCAATCAATGAATTTAGCAACTATAAGCCAAGACATGTACTGTTCAATCAAAGACTATAAATGGATATTCTCAATCCAATCAGCCCTGCAAAATGACAAACATTCCTTTCACTGTTTGCCTCGTGATGGACGAACGGNCACTTTTTTAGTGGAAGTGACCGGTCAACTTTTGACCCGTCCCAATCGAAGAGTTAACCTCATTTGGTGATAGATAAAAGTGACCGGTCATATTTTGACCTGTCCCTTTCATGGACGTATCGTCTTTATATCCAACTCAATCAACTTTCTTTTTTAGGAAAAAAATAGGTGAACCCAAAGTGGTGTCATCTAAGTGTACATCACCTTCTCACATACACATACAAACCCCCACTATCTATATTTGTCCGTGAGAAGGTGGTGTACGCTTGGAGTACACCACCTTGGGATACACCTAGCAAATCCTTTAGTTAGTGTTTGACAACTAGCATTTCATTTCAATTCATGTATTTCAATTCCAAAATTTGAAATCTTGAATTTCAAATTAAGCTTTGTTATGAATAAAAACAATTTGACTCAAATCCAAATTTAAAATGTTTAAGTTTCCCAAACATAGAATTTGAGCCAAATCCGGATTTGAAATCCAAATCCATGTTCCCAAACATACCATTAACTTCTTTTTAGTAAGAAGTACTAATATATATACTTAAAATACTCAGTATATCACTGCTATAGAATATTGGAGCTCGTGTGGATTCCACACTGCCAATAAATACACATTATAATAGAGTCAAATATTACTAAAAAATTACGACATATATTCATTCTTAGTTTTCGTACTCTTTACTTTTATACTTTCTCATCCTACACAAAGATTTTACATTTTCTGGTCTACCCAAAAAAGTGTTTTTTACATTCATCTAAGGGCCAATTTGGTGAGCTTTGAAAGTATGATAACATATGAATTTTGAAA